CAGTTTGATGTAGTGTGAAGGTGCTGGCCTAAAAAAACAAGAGATTGTGAGTTATATTCCTGCTTTGGAAATGAGAACCAATTGGCTAATCTAGTAGTCACTATCTCTCAGCCTAACCCATCTCACAGAATCATTGTAGGGAAAATGGAAGGAGAACGGAGTAGAGTATTAGGTATGCTGGATGCCTTGAGTTATTTGTAAAAATAATAAAGGTGGGATAAAAAAATCAAATAAATAAAATAAACTTTTATGTATGAATAGTCTTATTCTTAAATGACATGATTGAAATAAAGATATTTTCCTAAGCAGATAGTTTTCTTATCCATTCTTGGGTCTTTGAATGGCCTAATTCTGTCCTTTCTCATCTCATTTCCAGTCCATCATGTCATTGAACAGAATAATTTTTCAGAATGTTCCCTGAACCTCATATCTTGTTCTTTTATTATCACCATTAACAGGACCATAAAAGGCATCTTTCACCAACTAATAAATCCTACTTTCAGATGTCTGAACAACAATTGTGATGACACCAACTCACAGTTCCTGACATTTAGCCCTTTCATTGATTAAATAAATCTACACTTCCACTTCTTTGTGACTATTCATCAATTATACTCTGAAAGATCAGACAACCTTCATTCATTTTATTGTGCTGTATTTGTAATAGATTGTTCCTATTTCATCCTTCTTTTTTCTGTTAGTTTCAATAACACATATCTTTTCCCTTTCTTTTCATTAATTAACAGGCACTGTTGCAAAGAGATTTAGGGGGAAAAAATGAGAAAAGGAAAAGGAAAAATTCTGCACCAGTCTGAGCGGCTGCGGAAATCAGGAGGAATATATGTGTATACACACACACACACACACACACACACACACACACACACACATACAGAGAGAGAGAGTCTTGGAATATAATGCAGTGCTAGAATAGCTAAGATACTGCTCAGACTCCCAGGTTTCTGAGAGAGGAGCCAAGATTGAGGAAGACACAGACCATCCATAGGGGTGAGAAGAGATTTTTTTTCTATATATATATGTGTGTGTGTATGTTTTGGGGGGATGTTTCTGGGATGGTATTTGTGTATTGTACGTAAATTTTGGGGAGGTAATTTGCTAGCTGCCATATACTGTACGTGTGAACTCTGCCTATGGAGTATGAAGATGGGAAAACTGCCCATTTGGGACTGAAGTGAGGTCTGGTGTGAACTTCTGGGATGGTATTACGCATTTGTGCATGGAGCCTAGGTGAGGAGGTTGAAGAAGAAATGTGAGCATAGATAAGGTGACCAACTTTTTTACAACAAAAAGGAGGACACGAATAAATTGAAGAAAAAAATATTGTAAATAAAAGAAACATTGTATTTATTGCAACAATAATACAGAATACACTATAATATGATCAATGCATAATAAAAACATTTGTAACAATAACATTTTATATTGTAATTATGCTTACATGCCTATTAATTATTTAAATGAGTACTTTTCCATTGAATGAATATTTTTTGTCAATGTATCATCTTCTAACAATATATTGGAAATATCTGAACAAGAAATATCCTTCATATTGAATTTTACGGCAAGTGCTGCAGCTAGAGTATCAACATTCAATCTCGATTTCTCACTTGTCCAAAAATCTACACGGCTGGACTGCATGGGTGTGGGCGGCAGAGGCAGGTGTTGTGAGCCAGGCGCTCCAGGATGGCCACGTAGATGCACAGGGTGAAGTGGTGGTAGCGCAGGTCAGCACTGCGTAGACCACCAGCTGGTGCAGCCCATGGAAGGTCAACTGCCCCCGCGCCCCCGCCCACAGCCGCCCCGCCAGCACCGCTGCCCTGCCGTGGAGAGCCGGCCCTGCGGCTCGCAAAGCACCAGCCGAGCCAGCTCCGGCCCAGAGCCGCCCCCCAGCACCACCGTCCCCCCTGCGCATCCCCGTAGAGCCGGCCCCACGGCTCGCAAAGGCAAAGCACCAGCTGCTCCGGCCCTGCACCTGTCCCCCCAGCACCACTGCCCACCCTGCGCATCCCTATAGAGCTGGCCCCGTGGCTCGCAAAGCACCAGCCACGCTGGCTCGGCCCTGCAGCCACCCCCCAGCACCACCGCCTACCCTGTGCATCCCCATGTAGAACTGAACAGGGAACATCAAGAGAAACTTACCACTCCAGTCTCCTCCAGCTATCTGAGGAAATAAGTAAGAGATGGTGTAGTTGGGTAGCAGTGAGGGGTGCAAAGTTCCTGCAACTTGCATGTGCAAAGTTGCCGCCTGGGTTTTGGCGCACGCAGCAGCAATTCCTATTGGCTTTTGAAAGCCAATAAGGAGAGTAGCACAGCTCAGGCAAAAGTTAAAAAAAACCATCAAAAAAAGGTCCCGGAACGCCTTCTGGGCGTCCTATGAGGAAAAAAAAGCCCTGCAGATAAGTCTTCAAATATAGAAAAAGAGGACATTTAGGAGAACATTTTCGAGGGAGGACAGAACTCACAAAAGGAGGACTGTCCTCCCAAAAGGAGGACGGTATGTGGAAAAGGAGGACATTTAGGAGGACACTTTTTGAGAGAGGACAGAACTCAAAAAAGGAGGACTGTCCTCCCAAAAGGAGGACGGTTGATCACCTTAGCATAGACAGACTTTGGCATGTTTCTTTTGACTGTTATTGTTTTGCTTTCGGGTTGGCATATTGTCTACGTGTTAATTGTTGTCTTTTGTTTTGATGCCATTCTGTAAGTCAGTTGTATCATTTTTATTTTAATGATATTAAATTTAGCAGTTGAAGAGACGGGGTAACATATGGTAGAAAGTCCTTGATATAATTTTGCTTCTCTTTATGTGTAATTGTTAACTAATGAGCAGAACAAAACAAAAAGCAAAAACAAAAAAAAGATCAATCTCTTGGACTTCAAATGGCATGTCCTAGTTTGTACAGTAGGTTGATCTTTAAGAGAAGCTTAATCTTCTTGTAGCTGATCTTCTTGGTATCCAGAAAAGCAGACACTGATCAGTAACAATTAGATTTTTTTTTAAAAAAAGCTTAGGGTTTCAAGGCTAAAACTAGGTATTATGTGGCTTATTCTTTAAAAACAGTATTTGGAACATATTAACTTTGGAGTGGAAACAAGCTTCCTTCTTACAATTTAGGAGGCAACTTTTTATGTATTATATTGTTTATATACATCTTCGTTTTACAGCTATCTTTGTAAAGGAACCACACTTCTTATAGGAACAAACAAAGCAAAAAATAAACAAATAAGTGGCGTTTCTGTCCTTCTTCTAACTTTACATTCATTAATCCATAGTCTTGTGTTGGTTTTTGTTTTTTTCTGTGGTGCCTTCTCTTGGCTTTGTCTCTTTTTCAGTCTTTTTCAGAAGTGGCAAGCGTAGAGGCAAGCATTGGGCACCCAAATATTTTGCAGCTTTCTTTCTACTATTGTTTTCATAATTCCTAGTCATCTTATTGGCTAGAGAGAGGAAAGGAAAGGAAAGGAAAGGAGAGGGGAGGGGAGGGGAGGAGAGAGAGGAGAGGAGAGGAGAGGAGAGAGAGGAGAGGAGAGGAGAGGAGAGGAGAGGAGAGGAGAGGAGAGGAGAGGAGAGGAAAGGAAAGGAATCCCTGTGGATATTACTGTAGTTGTTGCTGACTATAGGGAGTAGCTCCCATCTCCATTTCAAGGCCATGAGCCAGCACTGTCCGAAGATGTTTCTGTGGTCATGTGGTCAGCATGACACTGTTTCCTCCCACCAAACTGGTATTTATTTATCTACTCACATTTGCATGCTTTCGAACTGCTACATGGGCAGGAGCTAGGCAAAGATGGGCACTCATCTCATCATATGTCACTCAGGTCTCAAATCAGGCTGTCAGCTTTCCAGTCAACAAGCCCAGCATCCTAACTGCTGAACCATCACACTGCCCAAAGTTAATGATAACTGGAGTTTTAAATACACCTGGAAGTTACTTACCACCACTAAGTTATAATACATCTTTTTATTCTTGACTGATATATCAGCTGAAAATATATGTCTGTGTCTATATTACCTGTAGCTATGTCTAAATAACCAAAACAAATGGAAGTGGACTGTGATATACTTGTATAGCCATCCATTTGGGCTGATGCTATCATAGCTCAAATAAGACAATTTCCATCATCCTTAAATAGGTTTTATTTGGTGGTCTGTGTTAAGAAGAAACCTTCTTAGTCCAGCTTGACTGCTAGTATCCCTCTGGAATTGATGATGATGATGATGATGATGATGATGATGATGATGATGATCTTACATTAAAAGGGAAAATTCAGAAGCTTTTCTTTCACCAGAACTCACATATTTAAAATGATCTTAGTTAAACTAAACAATTCCAGAAATCTTTTCGACCAATGATTTATGTGTTCCTCTTTTCCTACAATGGGTAAATGTGCCCTTAAGCTCTTCAACTCCAGATTTCATTTTAGCTCTTATACTTCTAACTGTATGGGTATGTTTGTGTGTGCACATATCTGTGTCTATATGTACATACCTCAACACATACAGTTCTTACTTAAGTGTCCAAGCTGATAATTAGCAATATATTTGCACAGATAATTTCTGTGCATTATATTTTTCAGAGGAGGAGAAGAAACACTAATCACAAGAACTATCACTGGTTTAAATAAGTGGCATGACTGAAACCATCTGAAACTTACTAATGATGATATTATCCAAGGGATGCTCTGAATACAAAACATCCTTCCTGGAAAATGGATTGATCCCATCTATAGATGTTCATTGATTTCCTAGGAGAATTAGATTTAAAAGCATTATTTGGGCCAAGAGGCATCATGCATTCCTCTTGTGCTGGGTTTTCCATGGACTGTCTTTAGTTTTGCTCCCAAATCATTTTCCAGGTTTGTCTGAAATAACCACTGCAGTCAGATCTTTTTCTGAGTTACAGATCTGTGTGATTATACTACATTCAAAAGATCCATTCAGAATGCTTTCTTTACTTTTTATTCTTTTTTCCCCCCTACAGCTCCTAGATTGTTTTGTGATTCCAGTTGTGATCTTACTTTCTTGGTTCTTCCTCCTGGTGCGATACAAAGCAGTGCACTTCATCGGGATTGTGGTTTGCATTCTGGGCATGGGTTGCATGGCAGGAACAGATGTGCTTGTTGGAAGACAGCAAGGAGCAGGTACGTTTTTGCAGATTGGAAGGAAATGTGGTTTTTATTGTTGTTACTAAGTTCCCTGATAATGTCTGCATGTGGAAACATGGCAGCTTGAGAAAATAATGGATTTCCTAATGATGTCAGAAGTGGCCCTAAGGATCTTGCTAAACTATTTTTACCAGCATCTCTCACTATTGTGCATGTTGGCTGAGACCACTGTGGGAATCCTATGATACCTGGAGTTCCAAGCAGCAGAAACTTTGCCCCATTTTTTTTTTTTTTTTTTTTTGTGAGCCACAGTTCACTTTATAATATGTGTGGAATGACTTCCTGAGGTAGCATGGCTCTGTGACAGTGGTGGTGAACCTATAGCACAGGTGTCAGAGGCGGCACTCAGAGTCCTCTCTGTGGGCATGCGCGCCGTTGCCCCAGTCCTAGGCCTTCAGCAGGGTTTTATAAAACCTTTTCGCTTTAGGCCTCTGCCGCCGTGTGCAAAAAAAAAAGGTTCAATCAATGAGTCAATTTCAACTTCTCGCGGGAAAAAAAAATCTTGCAAAGTTGGAATTGATTGATTGAACTTTTTAGTCTCACCCAGTCTGCCGTTACCACCACAGCCACGCCCATCCAATGGGCAACACCCACCCAATTGGCCACACCCAGCCAATGGGCCACACCCATTCAGCACCCGACAATGCATAAGTGGGTTTGGGTTGCAGTTTGGGCACTCGGTCTCTAAAAGGTTCGCCATCGCTGCTCTATGATATAACTTCCATGTACGTGGATTGAATACCTTTGCCTGCAGAGAGGAAGACTCAGACATGGTAACCAAAACTCTTTTGTCTAAAACTCACAAAGAATGTTTCTGAATGGAATGAAGTATAACTTCTAATAGCAAATTGTGATTTATTTATTTTTTTACAATCCTTTTGCTCCTAGGAGAAAATAAGCTTATAGGTGATCTTCTAGTACTAGGTGGGGCCACTCTCTATGGCATCTCCAATGTCTGCGAGGAGTACATCGTACGAAATCTGAGTAGGGTGGAGTTCCTAGGGATGATTGGACTCTTTGGTTCCTTCTTCAGTGGAATTCAGCTGTAAGTAAAGAGAGGCATCTACTCCATACTGTTGCATGGAAATAGAGGACATTCCACAGCCATCTTCTCTCATGTTCCATGCATTGACTCTCTTAACAACTGTGGCATTTGCTTAACAACTGTATTTAGCTAACCCCTACAGCAAAAAAAAGTTTTTCAAATTAGACTAGTCACATGGGTGCCTCAACTAATGAACTTCATAACTTACGACAGAAAATCTGGGCTTCATTATGGTTGCAAATTGAGGACTATAATTTGCTCCATTTCCAAGGGGTTAAAAAGTGAGTCTGGTCTGGACACTGTGCTGTGACACTTCTATCTATCATAACAGATTATGGGCATGCGTTTTCATCATCTTTCCCTGTACAATCAATATGGAAAAGATTAACTTCTTAAGTAATACTGAGGATTTCAGTCCTTTTATTTTAATATCTTTTTTTGGTACTTTCATCCCAACATCAAGACAAAACTATAATCTATTTGTCTCCAGTGATAACATTAATATGAGGCTTCTTTCTATGAGGAATGTATTTGTTTCTTTCTATTCTCCCCACAGCATTAAGAAAACTGTATTAATACTATCAGAAAAACTGATAGAAGATAATATATAAACAGACATTAAACTTGGGCAATCGTGTAATGTTTGTTACAATTGCTAATACACCATTATAACTAGACATTGTTTTGATGTACTATCTGGAATGTTTCTGTGAGGAAAAAGATTCCTTCTACATTATTCTCTTCACTCACAGATGAGGCTACTCCCGCCCTTACACATCCCTGAATTGTGTGTTAGTAACTCTCATTACTTTGCTAATTACATTTCAAATATAGAGAGAAAGTAAGAGCTATTTGTATAAATCTGGTGTTAATTAACACATGCATGAGATTTCCTCTGTTTTAACAATATACTTATTTACCTCATTTTATGGAAATAATTGGAAATAATTAGAATTTCCTTTATCAATTATTTCTTTATTTTTCCCTCCAGTGCCATAATGGAACACAAAGAATTGTTAAAAGTTCCCTGGGACTGGCAAATAGGTAAGACTGGAACTTGTTTTACTATTGGTTATTGTTCGAAAAATAAATGTTTGAGATTATAGGCATTGCTGAAATGACAGTGGTGGTAACATCTTTGTTTAGCTCCACATGGGCCTAAAAATAACATAAGGGGAATTCACCTTTTTTGCAGCCTATATTGAATTCAGCTGAAGTTGAAAAATTTGTAAATATTAGCTGGGTTCATCAAGCTTGCTTACACTGGGTTTTCTAAATCATAGTTTATAGTTTAGTATCATGTGGCAACCACATCATTGACAGGTGTTTGGTTTGAACTGTAAAAAGGGCAACTAGTTAAATTTGCATTCCCATCAGTGAACAATACTGAAATATTTTTGGATGTGCAAATTACCGTGGTAGGCAGTAATGGCTTTGTGTGGCACATAAGCCAGCCATAGTTTATAGTTTAATTTCATTATTTGGTCCACTCCCATTACTTTGCCCTGTTTATGATGATGGGCAAATTGAAAGCAAAGCAAATAGAAATTGAGAGAATGTGGGTTTTTTTCACATTTCTTAGTGGGATAGGCAAGAGAGATCTTGTCTTCGTTTCTAAGAATTGGCTAGATGTGCTCTGTTGGTCACTTCTTCTTTCTCTTTTCTCTTTCTTGATTTAAAAAAAAAAAAAACCAGTCTGGTGTGTGTGTTTTTAACTTAAAACAAGAGGGGGAAAAAAACTTAAAATGAAGAGGAGATAGAACTCTCTACTTGGCAACCTCCTGTTTCTCCCCACCGCTTTGGATTCTTTAAAAAAAAATTTTTTTACACCTTGTACAAGAATTGGAAAAATGTGTGGGAGGAGGCTGTACTAGGGGGTGCAATCTTTGTATTGATACAAATATTTTTTTTTCATCTGTATACACCATTTCTGTGCTCAGCAAACAGTTTCCTCTTGAAGGATCATTACTTAAGTACTACAGCAGTGGTGGCAAACCTATGGCACGTGTGCCGGAGGCGGCACTCAGAGCCCTCTCTGTGGGCACATGCACTGTTGCCCCAGCCCCACCTCTCCCCACGGCCCCCTTCTCATCAGCAGCCCCCCTGGAGGGGAGTCACCCCTGGGCACAGACCACGTGGAGCAGCACAGCCAAGCACATGGCAGCTAGGCAGCGGGGACAAGACTCCGCCCTCACGCCCTGTCACACACAGATGCTGCAGGGCACGCGCGGAGGGCATGGCTGCCACCACGCTGCTGGGCCGCCTGGGCGATCTACTGTGGTGGGCTGTGGAGGTGATGGGTGGCCTTGCGGGGGCAGAGCGGGTGGGGCGCGGAGCGGGTGGGGCATGGAGCAGGGGTGTTTTTTGGGCACTCAGTCTCTAAAAGGTTTGCCATCACTGTACTACAGTAATGGTGGCATTTGATATTACCTGCATTAGAAGGCTACAAATGCCAGTTAATGCAGAAAGGCACGTTGAGCCCAACTGCACTTATAATCAGGAATAAGGGAGGTCATATGCTCAGTAAGCCTCAACAGCTCCTTTCCAAGTGAATATCAACAGCAGCAGGTTGGAGAGCTCCTTAAGCTGACTGGTTACAGAGGCAATAGCTGAGGAGTGCAGTTATAAATGACACAGTCGACCATTGCTCCCATTGGGCCTTCCCTCATCATTTCCTCTAATTAGCCCCAAACCTTAATGAAACTGTGCACATCTGCTGTTACACTCAGTTGCAAAAATCTTCCTGTTTTTTTTTCTCCCCAATATGGTTCCTCAATTGAACGCAGATCAATGTAAAGCATGACTGGTCTTTTTGATTAAGCAGTTGAGATTTTTACAAGGCTTCTGGGACTCGTTTCCCTTTTAGGAAGAAATGGGAGAAATATGTTTGGTGGTGTGAATTAACTAATCACCAGCAGCGGTGTGGTTTCTGAGGCAAAGACCCTCCAGCTTCACCAGTCTGTAAACAGGTAGCCTCTGAAGCACATTTTGCTACTGTTCAATTAGTAAAAGCAGATGTTTTGTTAGAGCAGAGAGCACTTGATTTTGGATTCCATTTGCGCGTTACACTAAATCAATGAGATGCAACCTTTTCTGGGCTAAGAGTGAACAGAACTGGGATAAAAATTAAAGTCAAGTTTATTTTATTTACATGTATCACAAGGGTATCCATGACTGGCCAGGAGAATTCTGGGCATTGAAGTCTGCAAGTCTTAAAAAAGAAACTGTCAAATGCCCAGGAAATAGAGAGATTTGGACAGTTCAAATGAGTACAAAGATTTATTGCAAGCTTAAGCTCCCCACAAGAACCTTGCCAACTGAATGTTAAGGGAATTGTGAGGGAGATAAGAGAGGCATTCAAGGTGGGCTGGACTTAGATCTCTTGCGGGGGTACAGGGACTTGTGACTTATGACGTGTTTGACCCTTCCTTCGAGCTCAGCCTGGTCATCTCCTACATAAACTAATATTTTGGAGAGTTTTATTTTTTTAACTAAGTATGCCTGGTGTGTCTTCTTTTTTTCCTTTTCCTTTTATTCTGGTTTATATTATGTCTTTTGGTTACATCATGTATTTTGGCTGGGCAGTTAATGATTATTTTTTCATTAGTGTTTTTAGTCATGCAATGGATGAAGCTTCCAAAGAAATATTGGATTGCAGTTGGATAGAAATACAATAAAAAAAAATGGAGCAGGAAAATATTGAGAACTTAAATAAAGAAATCCAGGGAAGTCATGGTGATGAAAAATGATATTATATTATGACATCATTATGCAAATGACATGAATTGCATAACACATATGAAGTCATTCACCTTTTTTTGCAGACACGAATAAGCCAAAGCTTGCTTTGTGTGTTTTTATGAGTGTGTGCATTACACTCAGTCATGGCTTGGCATAATGTCTGGGCCTAGCTTATGACTGTCAAAACAGAGTAATTATGTTTTTTGTATGCTACAGATCAGGCAACAGAACAATTCTGACCTGTAAGGGTTCTGCAGACCTTGCCAAGGATCTAGACTCAGAATTCCACAAAAAAACAACCTTCTCTACTCAGTTTTGCTAGCCTCTCACCTATTTCCATCACAAAAGATGCACCCAAGAGTCTTTGCAAAAGCTCAGTGGTTTTCTTTGAAGCTAAGAAATAATGGAATATAGTGTGTGAGGGAGAAGTTTAACTGTTCTGTCCCAAAAATCTCCCCACCCCACCCCACTCCCCAGTGTACATTAAGTGCTGAATATGTACTGTGTACTACTAGAAGATGGATGGCTGCATTTTAATAGTAGCCATTAGTTCCACTAGTACCTCGATCTTTAAACCAAGGGGAAAGTAACTCTTAAGGAAAAGAAAAAAAAAGAATCTTAACCCTGCTGTAAATAGACTTTTATATGTCCAAGGTCCTAAAAGTAATTACATTCCCTTAGTAAATTTATAGTATATTTGTTCTGGAGCCGTCTTCAAGAAAAATTGATATGAGATTGTGACATAAATCACACAGGGAAAGAAACAATATTTGCCTACTTATACAGATAGAACCAATTCGATCTAGTTGTCAAGACCCCAGGCTATAAACCAGGAGACTGGGACTTCTAATCCTGCTTTAGGCATGAAAGCCAGCTGGGTGACTTTGTGCCAGTCACTGTCTCATGGCCCAATGCACCTCACAGGATTGTTGCTGTGGGGAAAATAGGAGGAGGAAGTGGGATTAGGTATATTTGCCACCTTGACTTATTCATTAAAACAATAAAGGCTGGATATAAATAAATAAAGGGGAGATGTTGCCTCTCATTAATCCCTTTTTTGTTGCTAATTCTTGTGAATAACTTTGCTTTTGAATTTCTGTGGTTTTTTTACATTTAGTTCTAAATTTGGGAATATTGTTATTTTTGTGAATATAGTACATACAATCGCTTTACAATGATTATCATTCTTGTAGTAATATTGTACAAAGATAAAACATCCAAATCAGGGAGGATGAGGGTAGAGTGTTAGGACTGTAGAGAGTGAGTGTGAACACTGGCAGGTTATAAGCTATCAAACAAGGGCTAAGAATGAATTATTTTTTTGTTTGTAACATTTCAAGAGCACGTACTTTAGGTAGCCAAATACACAGGAGTATTGTCTGAAAACTCGGGATGGGAATGTGTGCCATGACGTTGAAACCTCCCGACAGGTCACTCTCTCAGGTTTTTTTTTTATTCCATCCTTGCAAGTACAAAGCTGAAGGTAAGATTTATTTTTTTCCTGGATTATGTCTTGGCTGACTCTGCTACCTCAGATCACAAAGAGATAAGGGCATCTTCCTTTTCTCCTGGCATACCTTGGGTAGTTAGAAATCTTCAAAGGTTTCTTTCTCTCAGCAGAAAAGTTGCCTTCAGAAAAGGGTGGGCAACATAGTACTGACTGTTTATCATTTATGTTCCTTCCTTCCTTCCTTCCTTCCTTCCTTCCTTCCTTCCTTCCTTCCTTCCTTCCTTCCTTCCTTCCTATAGGATTACTATATGTTGGCTTTAGTGCCTGCATGTTCGGCCTCTACAGCTTCATGCCTGTGGTCATTAAGAAAACGAGTGCTACAGCGGTCAACCTCTCTCTTCTTACTGCAGATTTATACAGCCTTTTCTGTGGATTCTTTCTCTTCTACTACAAGGTAAATGGACTGATCTGGTTACAGGTAGTTCTCGGCTTACGGCCATAATTGGGACCAGAATTTTGGTTGTTGGCAAGGCAGTCGTTAATTGCGCCCAATTTTACAACTTTTTTGGGGGGGGCACAGTTAGGTTAATCACCGCAGTTGTTAAAGTGACTCACATAGTTTTTAGGTGAGTCTGGCTTCCCCTATTGACTTTTCTCATTGGTGGAAAGCTCACCAATGGTGATCACATGACCCCAGGACACTGCAACCATTGTAAATGCATGCTGGTGGGCCAAACACTGGAATTTCAATCACATAACCAGGTGGCTTTAAGCGAAAGGGTCTGTCATAAGTTACTTTAGTGTTGTTGTAATGGCAAATGGTCACTAAACGAATGGCTATAAGTCGAGGATTACCTGTATATGAGTAATTGATCACTGTCTTGCTAACATTAACATTGCACTAATGGGGATAGCATCTAAGATAGGGGTCTTCAAACTTGGCCCTTTTATGACTTGTGGACTTCAACTCCCAGAATTCCTCAGCCAGCATGCCTTGCTGAGGAATTCTGGGAGTTGAAGTCCACAAGTCATAAAAGGGCCAAGTTTGAAGACCCCTGATCTAAGAGTTGTGCTGATCAACATAAACTAGGTTTTTAAATTCAGTGTTTAAATATCCCATTTGTTCAGATTAAACCTTATGTGTTGTTAAGGAAAAGAAGCCATTATTAAGCACATCTGCTGCATAAGGGCATTCTGGGATTTCCCCAGCTGGACAAAGCAGAGTTCCAATTTTGAATTGAATAACCCGGATGTTGTGGATTGCAAGTAACTTAATGTGATATTTTCAACTTGTAACTAGCAGATGCCTTCAGTTTCCTGTGGTGTTGTAATCCCTAGCTTTGTTCTTGTACAAGGAATGAAAGTATCCCCGATCACCGTAGGCATAAAGCATTAATATTAAATTGCTTGTATTAATTATCATGCCGAGGATGATTTACTCTGCATGTTTTCCACTTGCTTTGGTTTCAGCACAGCTGTTCTTCACCTCAGCTACATCATCCCTTTTTTTTTTTTGTAATCACTGACCAATAGACAAAAGCCTCTCTTCATGGGAGAGCAAAAGGCTTTATGGTTAATTAGAACCATCCCAGCACTTTAATATCTCTTCCAAAATTCACAGTCCTTATACTTTCAAGGAGCTGCTGGGCTTCGCTGTCTCTCTCTCTCTCCTCTGACCTATAGCAAAGAAAATATAAATCAAACAAAATGCAAGGAACTACCTTTATTTTGCTTTGGAAAGTAATTGGAAAAGCATTTTAGCATTCAAAAGGGTTGAATCATCTTAACTTGCCATTAGAACTGAACTTTTCAAGATTTATAATCTGCCCTGCATTCATTAGTGCCATAGGCTATGTTGTTGCAAAGAAGATGAATGCAAAAGAAGTGAGAAATATGGCATTATGACTCATGAATAATTGAATAGATTATTTATAATGAGGGGAATTGCATTCATATTTTTATTAAACTATAATGACTTAGGAGTTACACTATAAGAAAGTAAATTCCATTTTAAAAAAACTCAGAGTGAATTTGGTTTATAAAATTATGTCTAAAGTAATTCTGTGTAATGAGTAATTGATCTTGCTAAACACCCATAATGGCCAAACATAGTCTATTATCAATATTTTCTCACATAGCAAGCCCACAACATATAATGTCCTCTAGCAAATTATTGCTGATTTTTGTTCACACTACCATCAGAAATTCTCTTGCCAAAGCAGGATTCATACTTCATTAGAAGTAATTAAGTATCAAATTCCTGATGTAGAAGTCCTAAAAAGTCATTATTTATCATTCTTCAGGGAAAACCTGAAAAAATGGCAATCTATATAGTTCAGAGCCTTTTCCTCTGTTCTTCAGAACTGAAAGAGGTAGGATATATTGTATTTAGCTTACAGCTTCATTGTTTTTCAGGACAATTTAGAACAGGGGTATGGCACTCCCAAATTTTGATGACCACTAGATGGCAACAAAGAAATAGGGAACACACTCACTCTTTGCCTTCATTTTGTACTTGTCCAGATTGTTGCAGCCCAGATCTGGTAGACATACTTCCTTCCATTTCTCCCATGGCTTTACACTTCTCATACCTCATATCTCATACCTCATACCTACTATTGCAACTTGTTTTCATGATGTCTACCTTTCATATTCAATTCAAATGATTTCTAGTATTATTTACACAGAACTTTCAACTCAGGCAAAAGTCAGTTATTTTAATTGCACGCCTTCCAGTTTGGTCAATTCTTCCATTTTTTTCAATGAGGTGAGAAGAGGGAGTTGTAATACAAATGACCACAAAGGTAGGTAGAATGCTTGGTGAGATTCTGTCTGGTAGCCAGAGCATAATGCTAGTAGAGCCAGTGTAGGTTGAAACTTGAAGGCTTCCAGAATTAAAATTCTGCAAAGCTCAGGCTGGAATTGTAGCTATAAGAGACAAGATCCAGGGATAGAAGTAGGCAACCAATGACACACAGATCCAGGAAGGTGGAGCAAGGCACCAAAGTAGAGAAGAACAGTGGTTTAGATCAAGCTAGAGTTCCACAAGATGGGCCATGTCACAATGTTGGAGGGTTGTTTCCAAAGGTGAGCAAGGCTCTATCACCTATTCCTAAGTAGTCCCAGCTGCAAACACAGCTCAGTCAGGGGCCTTCCCTTGCTTCCTGTGAAACCAAGCAGCTCATCTTTGCTCTGTCCTTCAAAGTTGCTGGTACATCCCGGGCCTTAGTGCTCTGCCAGAATATAAAACTGTCTATTCCCGCTGATGGTCTCTGTTGAGTCCTTGAGTCAACGGCGAATGAACAGAGCACATTCTGTAATTCCAACAGCCTTTTATTTCAGTAGTTCTCTCTCTCCGACACAGCTCTGAGGCTCGCAGGCCTCTCTGTCTCCTTTAATAGAATCCCCGGGCAAAAAGGTAACAAACTGGCGCGCTTCCGCGCCTTGCGCATGCGCGTGAAGCCGGCGCCACTCAGTCTGGTCCCGGGCAGCTTGCAACTGCCTGGGACCATTGCAACGTCCCAAGCCTGCCTTTGCAGGCTCAGGACACAACAGTCTCCCTTGTTGATTTTTTGGTTGATTGATTCCCTACTAGCTCTCCACATGATAGGATCAGGCCCTTCAGCTTTTGACTCAAAGAATCAGCATAGACCATAACAGTAGGAATTGCAAGATGCCATTCAAAGTAAATATTGCTATTGATGCCTGGCCAAAGGGCAAGTCTATTTTACAACATACAGTAAAACATCTGAAGTCGGTTGGGGTCATTGCCAAAATTACTTGGAAGTCATGATCATTGCGAGTCATATTACCACAATACTATGGTTAATCTGGTCTGAAAGGTATTTTTTGCAAAAAGAGATGTCATTCAGTCAGTTCAACTTCTGCTGGTGATTTTGATGAAGATCTTCAGGTACACAAGAAAAAGTGAATACTTTAGAGCAACAATGGAACCTATATTCTGGGTGCCATCACTTTACTTTTGGGTCCTTTGAACCACCCAAGATTACTCTGCTAGTTAATCTGTCACATTTTCTCAAAGTAAAGGCTAATAGAAGTTGATTAAGTTAAGCTTAGTGCAGCTAATTCATCTTTAACCTTACATTTTGGTTCTCCCTGTGATGACATGACTATTTGGAGTGCACAAAAATGATTGTGCAGCCCTGTGTATATTTTCACACATACATAGAAACTAATATTTTTGTTCTTATTTAAATTATTATATGAATTTTATGTGGACAATATACAACAATGATAAAATTGTCAACTATATTGCCTCCAAGGTTTTTTTTCAAATAAATTATATTGCTCTTTTCTTCATAGGAAAAGTTATTTTAAGTGTGAATTAACAATGTCAATGGATTCTGCTTTTTGACACTGCAAAACTGTATATTACATCTTAGAGATTTAGCCTTGTCTGGAACACAGACTTTACTTTTGAAAATCAATAGATAATTTTATGAAACAGCTGCCGTTGCCATTTTTTTTTTGTCTGATGCAGAAAAACATGAGAAAAATGCTACAGAGAATTAAAAAAATGTAATTCAGGACACTTTTAGGGGTTTTATTTTCAAAGCTTTGTTCAGTGTTTATGCACATTTAGACTAATGCTTTAATTGGATTTTGTGCAAACAGATCATTGAAGAAAAAAACCAATAAATACAAGACAAAGGAAACATAGGGATTCATTTTATATAAAGTTAGACTATTACTATCTGTGCTGATTGTCGTCCCCATTTCAATATCTCAGAAATGTTTTTGCATCTTCTGTTATTTCATTTTGAATAGACGATGTCAAGAACTAAAACTGGGTCTTGGCATAGAAAACATGTCTCTGCCTCTGAATTGCAAAACTACTTGGGTAAACAATACAGCAAGTTGTTGAACGCTTTCATACCTTTCCTCTCATACCTTTTGCAGAAAGGACTAAGATCAGCAGGTGAAAGTACATGCATAAAATGGGGAGTAGGGAGAAAAATGACTACATGTTAAAATAAATCTTCAAGGTTTTTGCTTTTTTCTGTCTTCAATCTTATATAAACTTTGGTCCCTCCCTTTAGTCAATTATAAAGGGAATTTGTATGGAAGATCTAAACCAAATTGCACTTTGCAGGGCTCTATTATCTTACCTCTCCACGATAGCAATAGCAATAGCACTTACAGTTATATACTGCTTCACAGTGCTTTACAGCCCTCTCTAAGCTGTTTACAAAGTCAGCATATTTCCCCTAACAATCTGGGTCTTCATTTTACTGACCTCAGAAAGATGGAAGGTCAAGATCGAACTGCCTAACTGCTGGCAGTCAGCAGAAGTAGCCTGCAGTACTGCATTCTAACCACTGTGCCACCATAGCTCATGTGTTGATGGACCTCAACACATACAATCCAAGGTGACATGTGAGTGAGCTTTCTTATTTTTCATGATAATCTTCCTAGGTTTGTATAAGACTTTTG